CTAACATGAAATTGGGCATGATAAAACGGTCTTTTGGAATCCTGAAGTAAAAAGGTCTATTGAAACTTTATAAGTCTATTGTGAGACCAACTTTAAAATATTGCAGTGTAGTCTATAACAAAATTTACAAAAAAAGAGGCAGATTCCTTAGAGAAAGTTCAACAACGAGCAACTAAGACGACGGAGATCTGATATTTTACAGCTTTTTAAAATTGTCCATGGAATTGATAGGGTTTCGGGTGACTTATTATTCGGGTGTTAGAACTAGAGGTCATTTATTTCAGTACTGTAAGACAATTATTAGAAGTCGTGCTTTTTTTAAAAGGTCAGTCTGGCTGTGGAATTCTTTATAAAATGAAGACGTTAACTCTAGCTCAATTAATTTATTTAAATCTGCAATCGAAGTACGTTTGACTGACCATCTACTCAAATTTGCGCCATATGTTAAATTTTAAATATTCTGTGTTTGTTTTTTTTTTTTGAGGGGCCTATAATAAGCATCGTTTTGCTTAGCCTCCATACCCAGGTGGATCGGATTATAGAAGACTCTTTTTGGAAACAAGTAAATATTTCTTTTAAAAAATCAATGAGTATTTAAACCTTAAATTACAGTTTGTCAAGATCGAGTAAAGAAATAATTAATTTTTGTGATGATCCGGAGTAGGGTGTAGATATGATGAACATTGAAAGGAAAACGCCCCAAAAAACATTATTTCAAAAACAGATCAACTGATCTGAATGAAACATTCGAAAAAACCTTAACCAAGTTACAAGGAAGATAGTATAAATGTGTTGGCGACGAATCAGTCAAGGGTTTACATTGGACAGTCATTTAAATTCTTGAAATCCAAGACGTACCAAATATCTATAAAAAAAGTTTTCAATGGGTGTAAATGTAACGTTTTATAATACTGCCGTGATTCGGAAAAACGCATTATATCCACTTTTTAAAATTTTGAGATTTTGGCTTAGAGGCATCATATGGATGTAATCTATCATGTGAATTGATCATATACCCCCAAAAATGTTTATAAATATGAAATTAATATGAGAGTTACACATAATATCCATCCTGCAATAAAGCAAAAAAAAAAAAAAAAAAAAAAAAATATGGAAGAGTGCATTATATCCACCAAACATTGAAAAGTGAGCAATCAACCAATCACAGAAGACAATAATGAATATTTAATTAGTTCCCTAGATGGTGGAAGGGCATAATACATAGTTTGTTTTGGATCAGAGTGAAATTAATAAAAGAAGAATGCATTGTTCTTCATCATTTAAAGAATAAGTTGGAATATGATCATGACCAAATTGTTGCCATAATATAAATTTTAGTCTGTATATTAGTAATTATTATTATAACTAAGACCATTTAACAAACAAAATAAAATACATACATATTAAAAGCAAAAATATTTTACTTAGACTTTCCAATTAAGCCGGTGCTTTAAATATAGATATAGGCCCTAATACCTATGCTAAGTTGACATTTGAAATATTTAGCTATTAATTAAATAAGTACACTTCCTTTTAATTTATAAATGGGTCTGAAGAAGTGTGTTTAGAAGTTGGGTATTTATTTTTTCTTTATTAAATTTGAAGGCGGGTATTCTTTATAGTAAATTTAAATAATTTGATTATTTATGTTGTATAAACTTAATAACAGTGTTGTTGCTTGTTCTTTCTGAAGTGATTAATGATGGTATTTAATTAAAATTTACCATAACATATTTTAGGAGAAATACAACATTTACTAAATCAGATCAGACACATTTTATAAATATTTTATGAGAGTGAATGCGATAATGTTGCTAAATAATATTAACAAAAACCATTAGGAAACTTTCTATTTTGGTTTCTTTTAATTTATTTAAACATAATTTAATTTAAACCTCTAAAGTCCTGGTGAAAATTCACTTTAATTTCTTATTTTTCGTTAGTCCTTAAGTAAAGAATAATGCATGCATTCTATTGGCAAAACTGGATATATAATGCCTAACGTTAGATTTTTTCATACTTCATTGGCTTTTGTTTTCATTTGGAAAAGCGCATTATGTCTGGGTTATAAAAAATACATTTAGTTAGTACATTTACACAAACAATTCAATATAATTTATTTCCATAACAAAAGGCTAACAAGAAACGCGTTTTGCTCAATATCTTGAAACTATGATTTTGGCTTATAATGTGTTCTTCCGAATCACGGCAGAATAGTTTGTAAAGGTCAAGTAAAGAAATGACTGAATGTTTGTGATGATCTGGCGTAGGATGTGAATATGAGGACCGTTTAGAAGAAAACGTCCGAGACCAGATATGAGGCACGTTGTTGCAAAATGGCTAATTTGTAGCAAAAATTTATATTCAAGTTATTGGTATTTTCAAATACCTCAGTATGTGATCTTTAAAATTTCAAACCTAAGTTATTGGAAAGTGAAAGTACAATACTCTTAGTCAAGATAAACAGGATTTTGAGTAATTGCCTTTTAAAATTATTTGTGCATACATTGTTTAATAGAATGAACTATGAAAAATAACGTTAAATAAACAATGTTTTAACCACTTCAAGAACTAATACTTTGGGACATGATTAATAAGACATTAAACCGTTCACCTATAGTGAAAAAAAAATTGGATGTTTTATCAATTTTTTGAGCTCTCACATTTTATAGCTCATTTACTCAATAATGGACTGTGCGACAACTTTACCATTTCGCCACAACATCCTCATCTTTAAAAAATTGATCGCTATAAAACTTTCTAGAAAGTTTAAACCCAAGTTACAAGGAGATATCTTTATGTGGTTTTCAGAGTTCGTATTTATTCGTATTTTTATACTCTTTTGTTATTTGCTTCTTATTCACTGCTTTATTTTTTCCGCCCTCTGGAGTTTACTCACTGCTTTATTTGTTTTCGCCCGCTGGGTTTTAATTTGGGCATTTGTATGTTAATTTATGCAACATTCTTTTTTATGCCTGATTATGTTGAGGAATAAAGTGGTGAGTGCTACTGTTATCAATTGTTTCAATGGAAAAATTGATGTGTTTGATACTATGCCTGTGTGTGTAGAATTGGAAAGCATTGATGGTAAAGTTAACATGAAATTGAATGCATTAACAACGGATAAAGTCACTGGTGATATGCATGTTACCAATTAGAACACTGTAAAATCTAAGTGGAAGCACCTTGAGGACATCGATTTTCCCAGCTATAGATCAAAACATATTATAGATATTTTGATTGGATTAGATTGTTCAGATTTACACTTTTCGATTAACGAAGTAAGAGGAGGTATCGGTGAACCTATTGCTAGGTTAACACCACTTGGATGGACTTGTATCGGAAATCCAAATAGTCAACAACAAACAGCACATGCAGTTCACTTTGCTAGAACATATCATATTTGTGCTCGTAGAGGAGCAGAACTTAATAAATTGGATAGTAAGCTTAAGCAATTCTGGGAGATCGAACATTACGGAATTAAAAATGAGGTACCTGTATTTACACAAAATGAAAAATTAGCAGTAAACAAAGTTGAAATAGGTATTAGGCTTGTAAACGGCCGATACCAAGTACCAATTCCCTGGAAAGCTGAACGAGAAACGTTACCAGAAAATTATGACATGGCAGTTCGTAGACTGGAGTGTACTGAGAAACGTTTGTTAAGAAATCCGGACATAGAAGCATCATACTCTTCAACAATTGACCAATATGTACAGAAAGGATATATTCGAAAGATTGCTGAACATGAAAAACAACCAATTGGAAAATGGTATTTACCTCATTTTGCTATTGTTAAACCAGACAGGTCTACAACAAAGACTCGGATAGTCTTCGATGCTTCAGCAAGGAAGAATGATGTTTTCCTCAACGACGTAATCTACCCAAGGTAATTTAACAAAAGGACGCACATCTCGGGACATCAAAGGTTATAACTCTGGCACTTATGCAAACATTGTCAAAATGACAGATTAATGTTACATAAGAACATGAAATTTTATAAAATTCGTAAATTTTGAATTGCTATAACTTTTCATTTTCTTGGTCAATTTTCACAAATCAAATTGCAGTTTATAGAAGCATTTAACAAGCTCGCGGTAAAAAAAAATCAAATGTAACAGACATTGCGAAGTACCCAAATTAATAAAATAAAAACTAACACCATAAAACGAATGGCACGCATAGACTAATAATTGACGGCTGTACTCGCAACTAGTATCGGATTGTCGATGCCACAGTAAAGATCAAAGGACTGTACGCACGCGCTATGTTCGAGAGCGGAGATGTGCGTCCTTTTGTTAAATTACCTTGATCTACCAAAGTCCAAAATTGCAACAGAATTTATATAATGTGCTCTTAAGATTTAGAAGAAATCCAGTAGCCTTTGTTTGTGATATTGCAGAAATGTACCTGCGGATAGAAATTGATTCTGACGACAGACCATATCATAGATTTTTGTGGAGAGAATTGGATTTAACTAAACGTCCAGATGAATACGAATTTAACAGGATTGTTTTTGGAGTAAATGCTTCACCATTTCTAGCACAATTTGTGTCACAAATACACGCTCGCAAGTGTGCTGCAGAGTTTCCATTAGCTTCAGAAACTGTGCTAAAATCAACCTACATGGATGATAGTATGGATAGTAAAAAATGATGTAGAGGGACTGGAGCTATATAGACAGCTGTCTGGACTTTGGAGTAGAGCTGGTATGTATGCTAGAAAATGGTTGTCAAATTCAACAAAAGTATTACATAGCATCCCTATAAAAGACAGATCTTCTGAGATTATTTTGGAAAGCAATCCCTTACCAACGATAAAAACTTTAGGCATACTATGGGTTGCTGAAGAAGATGTTTTCATATTTCGTTGTACTCCACCATTAGCAGATTTTAAAATGACCAACGAAATATACTTACGAAAGTAAAATTGCCACAGTATTTGATCCATTAGGATTTCTATCGCCGTACATCATCAGAGCAAAAGTGTTGATACAGGAGATGTGGGCTGATGGAATTGATTGGGATGACAACTTAGATGACAATATGGAATTAAGAGTCAACAGATGGTTTGAAGAACTAAATCACATGACTTCCATAAAGGTACCAAGATGTCTACAGGTATACCACAATAAATCATTATCATCTTTAACATTACATGTATTTGTTGATGCATCGCAAGATGCCTACGCTACAGTTATATATTGCAGGAATACCTATGAAGATGGAACTGTATATGTTGGATTTGTGGCCTCAAAGACACGCGTCGCTCCCTTGACAGCAGTAAGCATCCCACGGTTGGGATTGATGGCGGCTGTAATCGGACTTCGACTAGCATCTACTACCTCAAAAGTGATAGAAATTCCGATGAAGGACGTAACTTTCTGGTCTGATAGCTCAAATGTTTTATATTGGATCAGAGGCAGGAGTAGACAGTTCAAGCCATTCGTTTCCAACCGAGTAGGTAAGATTCAGGGAATAAAAAACCCTAATCAGTGGAGATATGTACCCACTAAACAAAATCCCGCAGATGTAGCAACAAGAGGGTCGAATATTAGAAGTCTCGCTGATAACCAATTATGGTGGCAGGGCCCAGAATTTCTCATCGAAGAAAAAACAAATTGGCCCACTAACAAGTTTGAAAAATGTGCATCTAAAGAACAAACTAAAGAAGAAAAAGAGGTAAAGATACATAACATGATAAATTGTGCGCAATCGAATACACATCTGAAAGGTGACCAAACTTCGTGGCGTCTAGAGCCGACTCGATTTTCCAAATGGGTTTCGCTCACACGACTACAAGCTTGGGTTTTGAGGTTTGTTAACAATTGCCGACTTCCACATAGTCAACGAAACAGAGGGGAGTCTCCTGATGAAATTAATGATGCTGAAATTAATATCAATAAAACTGCCCAACAAGATGGATTCTCAACGGAATTTCAACAACTATCATGTGGTAAAATACTTAAAAATGACAGCAAAATAATAGGGCTACAACAAAAGATTGACGATGACGGTCTTATGCGTTCGGATGGAAGGTTAAAGTTTGCTGAATTTCTGCCATATGACGTACGGTACCCTATTATTTTACCACGGAAGAATTGGGTAACGAAATTAATTGTAAAACATCATCACGAAAAGGGTTTTCATGTAAGTGGTACCAATCATACCTTATCATCACTCTCAGAACGTTACTGGATTGTGTGTGGACGTGAAGAAATTGAATGGGAAAAAGAATGCGCCGAGTGCAAAAAGCGGAAAGCAAAATCTGCACGACAAATAATGGCCCCTTTACCTGAAAAGCGAATTAAATCATCACTTTGTGCATTTTCTAGAGTTGCGGTTGATTACGGAGGACCATTTATTACGATCCAGGGGCGAGAAAAACGTAGGGCTAAACGATATTTGTGTTTGTTTACCTGTTTAGCTACCCGTGCCGTACACTTGGAAATGGCCTATGCACTTGATACAAACTCATTTTTAAATGCATTTTATCGAATGGTAAATCGACGTGGTTTACCAAAAGAGGTTGTGTCGGACAACGGTGGGAACTTTATTGGAGCTGATAAAGAACTTCGCGAACTAATCATTTCTATTGATAAAGATAAAGTTCAGAAATCAACAGCCAATCGGGGAATAAAGTGGCATTTTAATCCCCCCTTAGCGCCTCATTTTGGAGGGGTTCACGAAAAAATTATTAAATCAGCAAAACGAGCGACGTATGCTATTTTGAAAAACGCCGACATTACGGATGAAGAACTGATAACCACGTTTACCGGAGTTGAATCGCTTATAAATTCAAGACAGCTAACTTATCAATCCGCTAATCCAAATGATGACACTCCTCTAACTCCAAATCATTTTCTTCATGGTCAGGTTGGGGGAGAATTTGCTCCTGACTCAGTGGACACAACAAAATTTAATCCAATGCGGAGATGGCGAAGAGTACAGGAACTTGTAAAGCACGTTTGTCGCCGATAGTTGCGAGAATGGTTACCAGGTTTCATTCCTCGGAAAAAGTGGAAGAAAGAGCAAAGAGACATTAAAATTGGTGACATTGTACTTGTAATAGCGTTAGATTCACCCAGGGGTCACTGGCCTTTAGGACGTATTATTGATGTTTACCCTGGTAAAGATGGACATGTCCGGGTGGCGAAAGTGCAAACCGCAAAGAACATTATGATTAGACCTATTTCAAAACTTTGTCTACTGGAAAATGTTAAATAGAACTGAACATTGATTTAATGAAACAAATCAACGAACATAATTCATAAAAGTAAAATAGTTTATGAAATTTTGTACTTTGCTTATACTTTCAAAGATAATAAGGTACAGGCAGTTGATGAATCTTGTGCGTAACACAAAATATTTAATAATTGAATTATGATCTGCATTCATGATTATAAGTACCAAGACGGAAAAGAAATAAATAAATAGAATAGAAAAAAAAAAAATAAATAAATAAATAAATAAAATAAAATAAATTAAAAAAAAAAAGGAAAAAAAAAAACTATAACAATGAAGCATTTGTATCAAAATTCGTTTGGATCGATAAGACATAGCATATCGATGGTGGGGAGAATGGTTTTCAGTGTTCGTATTTATTCGTATTTTTATACTCTTTTGCTTCTTATTCACTGCTTTATTTTTTCCGCCCTCTGGAGTTTACTCACTGCTTTATTTGTTTTCGCCCGCTGGGTTTTAATTTGGTCATTTGTATGTTAATTTATGCAACATTCTTTTTTATGCCTGATTATGTTGAGGAATAAAGTGGTAAGTGCTACTGTTATCGTTTTTAGAACAAGTCTGGAAATAAAAGTGATCGGAATCGAGATTATAGAGTTGTATTTTTTTGTATTCGTGAAACCATTATGTGTATGGGACCATCCAGGTTAGGGTGTAAATTTGAGGGTGATTTAAATTGCTTACGTCCCAGTTATAGATGGATAAAAATGACACTTTTCAGAAAATTTTATATGGTGAAATAAAGAAGTGATTTAATTTTGGTTACGATCCAGGGTATGGATATGAGGACCATTTAAAGATTGTTTGTTGACAGTTGATTAAATTATTAAAACGCAATTTGCGTTTTCTAAAGCCTTTAAACAAGTTGCAGCTAGGTTAAATTCAAAACTACCGTGATGTGCATGAACAATTTTTGTTTTCAGTCATTGAATCGTTATGAACTGAAAGGTCGGCCCATATAGCGCGCAATGGTTATGAGGCACGATGTACATCGCTATTACCATTGCACCATAGTTCAAGTCACACTAATAACGTCGAAGTAAACTTGGTTTTCGTTGTTTGTTTTATTTACCACTTCATTTTTTTGCACTTCATTAAAACTATATTGGTTTTAAGTCTTTTTTTTTAAATTAATGCCTTTTAACGGCTTTTCTTTTTGTAGCAATTTCCGTTTCAATTCTCATTAAAGGGGAAAAGCCCTATTTTATGTTGTTCAAACAGACGTAGTAAGTCTAGTTATAATAATATTATTACCAGTAAAAGTACGTTAGTATGTTTTTCTGCTATGTAGAAGAAAATTCGTTTTACTCAATATTCTACTCAGATTACATATATTTCTATTAGCTGTAACAGAACATTTTCTTTAAAAATAACCAAAACATATTTATTAAAAAAATCCCATTTTAGGGCAAAACACATAATTTTTACATTTTTCCTACTTCCAATGGTATAACATATTTTTATTCAGTCAATACTGGCAAATGACTTAAACTGACATTAATAAATCACAAGAAAAATTATATATCTATAAAATAATTATGCTTATTTCAAAGTCTACAATCACAATGGAAAAAAATCAACCCCAATAACAACTCACGAAGTAAATAATAATTCCATATTTCAGTTTAACTGAGGAAAAAATAATGAGTTTTATTTGGTCATTATGGACTTGATCGTTAGCTATTTTAAGCACATTTTATTGTTTACACAATTACGCATTTAGATTCTTGTGGTTTGACTCACTATAAGTATAAAAAAGGTTGATCGTCCCCTTCTTACTTATAAAATGGCTCACAATGGGAGCTGGTGCCTATGCCCTATACTCAGGTATACTGCCTTGCTGTAACAACATAGATCATTGCAGTCTCCATCTTAAGAATGAATATAATTATATATTTTAGTTTAATTGAGGAAAAACAATTACAGTACTTTTACCTTAGTTTTCTTAGTAGCTGCTGTGTCGCAAGCGCGTGGAGATATTTACGTAATGATTAGCCACATTCACTTGCCGTCTCGTTAGTTATTTTGCAGTTTCATTATTTTTTACACTAGTACTGTAACTGTACTAAATAAATCAGCGTCTGGACTGAAGGTTATTCTCAGTCACGAATTTACATTCCTGTGGTTTGACTCACTACAAGGCCATGTTAAAACAAATAATAAGTTGTTGATCGTCCCCTCCCTACAAAAAATAAAATTATACTACGAAACTTTTATTTAAAAAAAAAAGGAAGACCGGTTGAATTTTAAATGATGCCTTGCTCTCCATAGGGATTTGAAAACTGGGCAATCGTCAAGGGGGTAGTTTTGTTAAAGATTAAATAAAAAACAAAAACTGTTTACTATCAACAACTCTTTTTTACATTGTTTAATTTGAATCAGCATCTTTGAAAGTTTCTATGTGGTTAGCTGTCTATCTCATAATTCATCAATTTGTGACAACGAGGGTCATGATCTCAACAATATACAATACTTATTGGATTCACTTTTGCATCAGTGGCACACATGAGATAATATCTGATGGTACATCCAAGGGAAAAAAAGAGAAATTAAGTCAAATTGAAAACAAAGGTACAACAGAAACACAGCTAAATTAAAGGCCTATAAATACATTATATGATAGAGATGATTAGTTATGGTAACTTATAAATAAAAGTAAAGTAAATGCATAATGTCCACTACCATAATTATCCACAGGCTAGTATACTGGGTTGTGAATGAGGTAAGGGTTCTTTTTTCAGGAAAACAGACTGTACTTGGCTGGGGGTGGGGCCGGGGCCGACTAGGGGTCCGGCGATCTGGGCATTATTAACACTATCAATGACATTTAAGAGGCTGTGAGTAGTTGTTTTAATATTCTTAGCATTTATACCTGTGGTGTGTGATTTGTTTTTGATTTGGCAAAGCTATAATTCAATGATTTCTCAACCTAGGTAAGCCTCCGGTATTAGATGAGGTTCTTCCGAACCTGAACGCACCCTCTAGATCTTTAAATGATTATATTTATATGCATAAAAATATACTTAATTTTACTTGTGAAAAGTCGGGGTTTTAATAAAATTTTGCAAAAAGGTGAGGCCTCACTACGAAATGACACGCATAGTTCGTGCAATTATAATATATGAGATATATAATATAATATCTGTCTCTAGGCCCTGTCACTTATACACATCTTATATATAATATGAGATAATCATCAAAAAGTACGTCAAAATCAAAATTGTTACAAAATTTTGATTTTAAAGTTTTTTAATAACTTGATACTTATATTTGATAATTGTATACTTTTTGAGTAAACAGTGTTCTCTGCGTATATTCTGTGATTATCGTCTTACTATTTGTACAGGTTAGTTTATCGATTATACCGATTTTCTCAAAACGTGGTTCTTATACACCTACATTTTAACTGCTCACATCTCTGGATCTACTAATCCTAGAGAAACCATTTAAAGACCAAATTAAAGCTTGTAGTGTGATATACCACAATATAATTACTAAAAAAAAACTCAGGAACTATGGTAGAATATGTCCAGGATACTTAAAACATTTTCTCTTATATTACTTAGAATAAATATATTTCTATTAGCTGTAATGGAAGATTTTCTCTCAAAATATCCAGGAAAGTGTTTATTTGCAAAATAAAAAAATATGTTTTTAGGGCAAAACACATAATTTTTACAATTTTCGTAATTAGCTATTTAGGATGAAAACATAAAGAACTAGGTTGCCAGTATTCGCTGACCTCATATAAACAGGCAGTTAGTTCAAATGGTGTGTCAAAATGTGCACTAACATTCACGGTGCATGCGAATTGCCCCATACTGAACGTGATGGTCAGGTATATTTTAAGTAGACGATTCAATAATAGTAGATCATAATTATAATGGTTAAATTTTAATTCATTAGAGTAGCGAATTTGTTAATGTTAGTCTTGTTTAACAAGTAATGGTGAAGTAATTGAGTGAGTAAGTAAGTAAGTATTTATTGGAAAATTACACCTTTATATCTGTGGCACACACAAAGGTGGTGCATTCACATTGTACATCTTATAAAAGAACAAAAAAAAATATAAACAAAGCATTAAACTATTAACTTAATCAACAAAAATACATAAAGGCCTACACTAACAAATTGAAACTGGCAATTAAAAGTATTACTCTAGACAAAGAGAGAGAGAGTGAGAGAGAGGGGGGGGGGGTGTGGTTCACCGAAACGCGACTGGATTCTATTGTTCTCTAGTTCGTGAGCTCATGCAGTGCATTGATATGCAAATGAGGTTGTTGGCATCTTCCGCACACAAGATTAATGGACATTTTCGTGGCGATATTGGACGTATTATATTTGTTAAAAAGTGTTTAAAGTTTTACTTTGGCAATTTCATTTGAAAAGTAAGATACATAAACACATATATTGCTGTTTAAATGTTTGAAATGTATGGTATGCGTACATAAGGCTACAACAGGCTGGTAATTCAGCCACCCCTACCCTCAGCTGTCCAGGGCTAGGCCTAACTGGGTCCCGACTCGCGATGAAATGCGGATTTGAAGAAACATACTAAAGTTTGAACACTACTTATACATAATTATATGCACATATTATGTGTTCTAGAATTGTTTACTACAACAGACGACGTATGTATTGGTGTAGAGAAGTAAATCATATTTAGGAATTAAGACAATTGATTATGTATTCTTAATTTAATTTAATTTTTTTCGTATTTCTGACTTCAACATTTA